AAAAGTGTCACAAGTAAAGAGGTGACAACTAAGACAGCTCTAAAAGTTTAGACAATCAATTAAAACTTTTTAAACTCAACATACAGAGGATGTCTATTAAAAAAGAAAAAAAAAAACAGAAACAAATAATTTATAATTGCTTTAGTATTTGCTGAGACTTACGTGGAACACATGAGCCAAACTTGTCTGGAAATTCTGAGATCAGATCATCATTTATTCTGTCCTTCATGGGTCCCAAAACAATCACCGGTCGAGTGTAATTAACTGTTAATCATAAAGGAATAACATCAGTTAGATTGCAGTATGATTGCTGATTTTTACAGTTCAGCAAAATAAACTTTATCACATGGTAACGGTTTTAATACCTAAAAGAGTATGTACTCCTAAAGAGAAGAAAAACACGAAGAACTTGTTATCAATTAATAACATAGTCACAGTAAGATGTTAGATCTTTACTCTCAAACCACTGTCCTGGGTGACCAAAGATGAATCTTAAATCATTAAGTCTTTTGAAAAATAAAATATCTTTTCACAAAGTGACATCCATCATTCTACTGAAAACAGCAAAAGGAGGAAGTTTTAAAATCTTTCCACTTCAAAGAGGTACCTAAGCAGTAGCAGAGTTAATTAAATTCTAGTTCTGTGTTGGGAGAAACTTCTTTTCCTCTAAGACCACAACTTAAATACTCATCTATGAAAAGACAACTATGGTTGAGTTGCTTCTGCAACCATTAACACCCTTATAAAATGCAGTATGGCATCTTTTAAAAGCAGACTGGTTTTTTATAAAGTTATAAAGGGTTTTTGGTTGGAAATTAAGCTCAAGCAGAAAATACCTGATTCTACTGCAGGAACCATGAAGACAAGAATGTTTAAGTATCTTGGCATTAGCATATGATTTTAGCTGTAGAAATTTTAGTTTTAGGTTCAATCTCTCTTTACGGCACAAATAAATCCAAATTAAACAAAGTCTGACCTATAAGATACATTATAATTTGACTGTCAGAACTATTTCCTTCCTGGGGTATTAATATACTCATAAAAGGAACAACTGGGATCCAAAAACTGTCAACTTATTAACTCAATAACAAATATCTTTGCTTAAGGACTAAGGGTGGCCCACTAGTGTCTCAAGTCCAAGCAGCTTTACATCTATTTTGGTTCTTTACTTCTCTGGGCTTCTTACAAAAAAACAAAATTACTGTGGAAGTGAGTTAGTGGACAAATGCAGATAACATACGCAGGGAATGTATTACTGCTCCTAAGCAAAGGAATGAGCTACTGGTTCTTTTATGGCCTTCCCGATACACCATGTTAGACTCATAAAGAGAATTACAGTCATGTATTTACATGCCAAAGTATTTGGCTCTCTAGAATCTTCTTTTAGTTTTACAATACAACAGTTACTAAACCATCAGCTTGTGCAAAGTCTCATTCACATCTTCTCTCTTCAACCTTGACATTAATTCACTTGATATTACTATCTTTCTCACTAAACCATTACGCTATCAGAATCTGGGAAGGAACGCCAGCTAAGAAGATGTTTCCCATGTTGTGACACCCTCTGGTGTGCACACATACAGGGACAAAGCTGCTGCTCATCAATATTTTCTCCTATCAATTTGCATTTCATTCAAAAATTTAAAAAAAAAAAAAAGTGGCAGTTGCTAACCAAATTAGCCATATAAGAAGCCCATACAGAAATGGGAGACTGCTATGTTTTCGAGACATTTCAATTAAAGCTTACAAAAATACACAAATGATCTATTGACACACTTTCTACTGTGGCAGAAAAAAGGAACTGCAACAGTGAGAATGCTAAAGCAATATGAAACAAAAGAAAACTATAATTTTTGAGGTTCATACTGACAGAAGTGTTAAACACCTATTTTCCTTATGGAATGTAAACCACATATAAGAAGTTATTTTACACAGAAAGCCTTTGGAATATGTACTAAATAATTTATCAATTGCATTTAATAATTTATGCCTTTATGCTTTATTCATTTGAATAATGGTAACAAGTTCAAAACAGTGAAGAAGTTTATCACAGTGCTCAGTACATAAGGGCAACATGAAGCATTCTGAAAATTCAAATTGTATTTATTTCATTCTGAGCGAGATCTACAAACCTTCTTGTTGATTGACGGGTTCATATGACAAGACATATTCCTCTTGGCCACCTAAAATGTAAATGCAAAGACATATCTATGTATTTTTTTTCTAAACCAACATACTTAAATCGAGTCATTCAATGTAACCATAATGATACAGACATTCCCCAGTAATATGCTTTACAATGACACTGATGAAGGACATTTTTCAAGAGCGATGAATTATAAAAATCACAAAGATAAGCCAAACAAAATTTTAAAGCATAAGACACATACAGTATAAATAATTTCCTGGTTTGTGTTAGCATGTCAAACTGACATCAAGCACAAGAAGAATTTTAAAGCGTTATCGAAATGCTCTTAATACACGCTTCCCTGAATGAAATGCATGCATGCTATCATTCACTGCTAGAGGCAATGCCACCTTCATCAGAACTTTCTCCATACTTTGAAGCCAGCATTTACAGTAACATTTCTCTATATTTATGCAGGGCTGACAACCATGTATGTCAAGTTATACATATCTTGATCATGAAGTGGCATTTACATAAACACCTTCAATCACTCTAATTCTACAAAAAAACCCCACCAACTGTGATTGTACATACTAAATAACTATTGTTTTATTAATGACTTTTTAAAAACGAACTTGAAAACAAAGAATACTTTGTATTGTTCTCAGCTCCAGAAAGCACATCAGCAGTGAATGAAACTAAAATAGCTGAACGTTGACCTTTGACAGCTGCAGGCTTTTTAAATGTTAGTGAAAGCATCTGAAATATACCTCAGTTGCCATCTCTCTAAAAGATTATTTCTAGTCTAAAAAGGTATGTCTGAGTAAGATTTCTTGCAATGGAATCACTAAAAATTAACGCCATGACAGCAAAGAACTTATAATTCTGAAGATATAAACTCAAATTATATGTCATTACTATGAACTTTGAAAAAAATACAGTACTTCAATAACTCACTTGTGTAATTTTGGAACAGTCTTTGTTGTTCATAAGCCATACTTACAACAGGCAAAGGATCATAGCAATGCTATACCACAGTCGTATAGAAACAAGATGGTAAATAAAAGCTCTTATAAACTCATATATTACTTTTATATATCTATTCCTTATTTCATAGCAAATATAATTGATCTTTTAAATCTAAAATTTACAGTTTCACTAAGAGAAGTATTTCTCTTATTTTCAATAAATTTGCATTGAAGCTGTACTACAGCAATACACAAATGAAGATTTTAATTTTTTAAATTATTGCAAGTGAGGAATACGTTAAGACAGACACAAAAACATGCAACTCATATATTTTAATATCTCAAAAAGTTACTCATGCAAATGGATTTTAGAAGGACAGTATATACTTTCAGAACCCCTTTTTGGCTAGGGAGAGGAATAGGAAATCACCAGCTATTGACCCATCTATGAAAGATGCAGCTCACATATAATTAGACACTTCTTTGAAGAAGTCACGTTGCTATAAGATCAAAAAATAGTTAAGCAAACTACTAAAGAGATAACAAGTAAAAAGCATCTCCTGCTTGAGGGCAAAAAGTATATATTGTCACTGCTTTTCAATATTTTGGAAAAATGAATATTAATAGAATGAACCTTTTGAACAACCGTACTCATCTGTAATCAAGATAACTTTCATATTAGACAGCAGTAAGAAGAAATTAAAAAAAAAATCTTTTTAATAAAAAGTGCTTGGAATTACGCATTCAGGTAACAAATCAATGACATTAATAATAAAAACAGGGCTTCTCAAGTAATAACAGCATAAAAAACTAACTAGTAGTACCAATAGCAAGCTTTAAACGTACATAAAGCCAGCTTAGAAAAATCTTGGAGAGAGGGAGGAGGCGAAGACAGGAAAGCAGCAAATTTATGGAGAAAGTAATAGATAGTTTTAATGGCATGTCACTAAAAATGGTTAAAATTTGTAAGTTTGTCATATAGGCAAAGGCAGCTTCCATACATGCTCCATTTGGTGTTACTCTCAGGGAACACGCATGCCTCCCCCAATCGGTTTCATTTCAGTTACAGCCTATGACACTGTTAGCATGGTAAGCGCTGGGGATTTTATACACATGTGTAAATTCTCTTGAGTGTAACCCTCTGGAAGAAAAAAATGTGGATCATCACCTCTGAGATCTACAGCTTCCAAACAAATGTATCTGTTAATGAACCACCTTCCTTATTACCCTAGTACAAATAACACCTGTTTCTGAAGTGCCCACTATACACTCCGCAGGCAACCAGGAGCTGAGCAGTGAGCCACTCTCAGTGCCGCACTGCAAGACTTTTACTGTTCCTTCTATTCATATTCCTCTTCAAATCCTCAACTTTTTCATCTTCCTGCTCTGCTCTATCCTGGGTTCCAGGTCTGGACTGCGTGACCTTACTGAGGAGTTTTTCACTGGGAATGACAAGTGGGATTGAAGTTCTGGATCTGTTTTAAGATGTTTTAAAGCATTGTAGAGCAGCACCATGCAGCATATTACCCACTGGGAACATGTAGTACTGCTGCAGCTTGGGTGATAGTAAATAGTATTGTAGCTTAAGCTAGTAAAAAAGCTATCTCAGTCTAGTATTTAAAAGATATGTCTTCATAGAGAGAGAACATGTATGCATGCCTAGCATGCTAACTTATCATAACTGACTCCAGCACTGAATGTTGTGTCGTATGCTTTGAATACAGATCATACTAAGCACCCACACTTGACACAATAGATAAATGAAAGCTGAAAGCAAGGGTAAATACATGTTTGCTTATCTTTTCTTTCATTAGAAGTATATACGTATTAAATCTGGGTATCCGTTGTGAAAAACTGTAGATAGTTATATTGCACCATTTAGCAGAGTACACAGTTTAGTTATGCTTCCAGTATTAAGCTCAACTATGTAAAATTATATTTGTCAACGTTAAATTTACATTTAGGTTTTATTAGATCTAGCTAGCTCGCATAATTAAAAAAAAAAAAAAAAGGAATTGATTCAAATTAAGCTGAACTAAGAAAAATCATAGATCACAATAAAAAGATCCATAAAGAAGGTTTGCAATGATTCCCTCTAGTCAGTTTTTTAAAAACAAACAGACACAGCAGAATTTGCAGTACCCCGCCAAACACATGAATATGGATTTCACCTGCAGGTGACTGGAAAGTTCTATTTAACATGTAAATACCCAGAAAAGACAGACAAACAAAATCAAAGAAAGAGCTACTAAACAGAGATTCTAAACAAAGAACTTAAAAACACTTACGGTAACTACTTTCACTATCGCTGGCATTAGAGGTTACATGCTCTGAAATTGCAACACAATGGAAAAAGAAATAAGGAACATACACTAATGGCATGAGTTCAAAAGAAACAAATTGACACAAAATAATCCAGATGAAAGACAATACTGATATCAAAATGCTGAAATCAATACATACTGCATGTAAAAGTTTTAAGGTACTTCTCATAGCTCTCAGGACCAAGCTTAATTTCATACGAAAGAATGGATGTTAATAAAAAGAAAAACATTAAATAGCACATCAAAATAAGATTGCAAAAAGTACACTACTTCATAGTTCATATTTAACCCTGCAACTTTTAGGTTTCCACTTCAAGATTAATTTTGTTGTGCAAAAACTATGGGATTATACATTTCAACTTTCATGCAGGCAATTTATTGATTATACTAAGAGTCTCGTAGCAGAAAATACTGGACTACATTGCAGGAAATACAGTGTAGTGCATTCAACAATAGATACTTTCCTATGGTATATTAAATAGTTTACTGGAAGTGCAATGCAGACTTAAGATTCTCCCCTGCCTCCCCGCCACCCCACCCCAGTAATGTTTTAGTTTACAAAAGCTCCTGACTTTTATTCTGGGCTACCTATATTCATTTCATGCTTTTTGCGTAGCAATCAAAATACTTCAGTAGCTACAAGTTGTTTATATTTATTTTTTAAAGCTATGTAACTGTGTTAAATATACGTTTATGATAAAAATTAATGAATTGAAGAATTTTAGGTATTAATCTATTCTGTTACCTGAAAATTCTACACTTCTGATGAACAAATATTAACTTTGATATTGCTGAACTTCACTGTAAAGAATCAATTTTTATGCCACCCAATGAGTGTGTCTATTTGTAATGAAAACACGAACATTCACATGTTAAGACTGCATAAAGAAGCTTGTGTTTGACCTATACAAATTAAATACAATTAAATCTCAATTTATGTACCTGGGTAGATAATAAAAATAATATATATGATAATATATACTGTTGTCATGAGGAGCCTTTATAATACATTAAATTCAGTGCAGTTCCTCCCCTACAAGATTGAAGAGAAGGAAGCAAAGGCACTCTAGAGGTAAGAATACCATTATGAAGCAAGTATGCTTTGCTTCTACTGAGTAATAAACATTTAAAAAAATTAGAGTCATCATATGTAAACTAATTAACCTTTTAAAATGTTTTTGGATAAAGTGAACCAGTATCTTTAAACCACAAGTCTCTGGCTAGCCTGAACTCACTTCATTTCTGTGCAAGAAAAACAGATAAATATTTCCAAAGGTTTGTGAGTGACAGAAATTTGTATCTACTTCCATTTCACCTTCTTGTCTTGGAAAAAAATGTCCACATTGGCACAGAAGAGGCAAACAGTGATGTTTAAAAGCCTCATAGTAGAACATGAAAGAGAGACACTGTCAACTGAGAATACAAGTGGGATATTTGGATAGTGGGCACAATTGGTAAAGATGTAAAGCCTGAAATGCCAGCAAGAACAGCAGTCTTGCAGAGCCCAAATAACACAGCTTGCATTAAGTGTGGTGAGGCAGTTTCAAAAAGTCTGACTGTGCTGAAAAACTGGCTAGAAGCCATTTGTTTTTATAACAGAATCACCTAGTGACATTCTGGACCGTATCATATAGCTTAAACTAGGTACAATCACAAGGCCATAAAGGCTGCTTATGATCTTCCGCTTTAAACCATGAGAGCATAAAGGTCGCTAAGGTCTTCTGCTCTAGATGAAGAATTTCCGTGAAACTATCCATTTCAGAAATGGAAAATTAATGTTATAGCTACTAGAATTTTTTATTTCATGAGTGAGGCCAGATACAGAAGTACACCACTTCTTACATATAATTTCAGGAACACTGTGAACAACAGTTATGCGCCGGGAAGAAACATTATCTTCAGTGACCTTTAGTCACTTATATCTTTAGTGACTAATTTTACTATTCTATAAACACATGACAGTGTATGTGTTTAGTATATGTGATGAAAGCAAGGTCTTGACTTCTTTTTTATTTGCCATCTTAGTACAGTGGCAGTGTCTGTGTACACAAACAGATCTGTTAGAGTACTCAGCAACTTTTGAATTTTACTGTATTCAAGTAGTTAATATTTCCACAGGAAATACAACTAATACTAATACTCCTCTATTAGATACCCCTCTACCTGGTCTAAAAGCAGGATAAGAGTTCAAATAAGTCAGACAGAAAAACCTCTCACGGTATTTGTTAAGCAAAGGGTTTTTTGTTTGTTTTAAGTAGCTGTAAATGTCAGTCACCTAGAGAGAGGATGGAAAACTGTAACTAGTTAAAGTATTACGGCAATGGTTGTACTATTACTGTAAAAAGCCATAGGTTATTTTTAAATAAATAAAAGCACAAAGACAAGATAAAAGTGACACAAAAAAAATCACAAAACTTATAAACACAATATTATTAAGGACAAACAAGTAAGCGCAGGTAAGCTTCTGAACAACAAAAAATCTAACGTGATAGTCACATGAAATTAAAGTAACACATTCCTGAAAGCAAAAACCCACAGAACATTTCGAACTAGAAAAAGCTTATGAAACATTTTCAGAGTCAACCTCCTTATGCCAGTAGAGCACCAGTCTCAAAGAGATCTGTTAAAAAAAAAAGTAGTAATTTTTCAGATGGAGGTTAAAATAACTTGGGAGTATTTTGATCACTTACTCAGGCCTTTTGATCCCATGTCGTCAGGGACCTCCTGCAGTAGTCCCCAGAGGGCAAGCAATAAAAAGACAATCACAAAGAAAATAATTGTCAGTAATATATAAAATTGGCGCTACGACAGGAGACAGTTCCCAGAACATCACAGGGGAAGGTAAGTCTATAGGATTTGACCTGACTGGCATAGGAAGTGCAATCAGTGATGCAAATAGCAGAGAACATAGTTTGTAGCAGACCTGCTCCGAATTAGCAAACTTATGCAACTGCTTTTTGAGAAGACTTTTTTTTAAGAGCTGGCAACAGTGATGAAAACCAAAGTCACCTCTCTTCATTAGGAAAACCAAATTAGAATGAAATGATTTTGAAGTAAGCAGTCTAAAGGGACTGATTTGAGAAGCTGGTACGCTCCGCTATTCCTCCTTCACTGCTGTGCGCTCTCCTCCAAGCCAGAAATGAGGAACCATCACTGGCAGCACTGGGAGGTACACACTGTTACGCAAGAGCGTTACTCCGTTTATTCTAAACTGGGATATTCTTGGGTTCAATTTTACTTTAACAGCAAACAAACGATGTTATTGATTTTGTAAATGGGTTTGTCATTGGCATCTTGAGCTCGTTATCCTGTTGCAGCTCATGAAACTGTCTCCATGGTAACACCCTACTGCAATCTAGCAGGCCCTTCTACGTGTGCTTCACTCTCCATCGAATGCCACATACTTACGGTCAATATCACTGGTTTCCTGCTCACTCTGGTCCTTGTTCTTGTAGAAGGGAAATTTTCGGGAAAAGAGGTTCTTTTTACGCTTGTCATTGAATGACTGCTGAAGAAGAGAAGGAGGGGCAAAACAAAGGATGTCTAATGTCTGTGTGAACAAAGGCCCAGAGCAGCAGCTTTGTGGAAGCTGACTCCTATAACCACATTATGCAGTGCGTATTTCAGTTTAACACTATTTCTTAGCTCGTTAAAAATAGAGATTGGGATCATGGCTTTGCTCACACTTCCATATTTCACATGCTTACTACTGAGAGAACTGGCAGGCTGGTTGATCCAACATGGCCTGACCCGTATTTCACAAATTTAGGCTCACTGGGAGTGTAAAAAAGTGGGAAAAACTAGGCTGCTATAAGATGGCCCAACCACAATGAACTCAAAGGCAATTAAATCAATCTAATATAGGGGCTACCATATTTTAAAAAACGCTGAGGCTTTACACATGCTTTTCCAAACAGCTGACACCAAAACAGCACACCGTTAAGTATTTGCCAGTGCCACCCATTTGCAAAGGCAAAACTGGAAATACTTTGGTGACAACTGCTAAATAACATACAGCAAAGAAAAAAGGAAGTTAAAAGCTGGCATTGTACCAAATGCTCTTACAATAAAACTAAATAACAGTGAAACAGGAAAAAAGGAAAGAATAAAATTGTCTAGCTAAAATATCCAAACAATTAAAAAAAACCAAACCAAACTGTATTTGCAATTGCAATTCATTCCAAGCTCACTGAAAAAAATTACTTCACTCTATGTAAGTCTGTATCCCAGTCCCAAGATACAAACTCATTTAATTTGTTTACTGTGGCAATTATTTTTTCAAGGGTGCATTTATAGAGAATTACCACATGAAAAGCCCTGTATGTCCAAGGATCATGTTCAGCAACTTCTGACATTAACTGCTTGTGTTGCTGAAGAATTTCTGCATCTCAGTTACTACAAAAATTTCTACAGTTACCTATATAGACATATACATATCCACCCATTTGAATAAAAAGACTATTATTGTGATCCTTGTCTAAGTGATGGAGACCATCAATGTTTTTTCATTCACATATGGGTATGTCTACAGGTGTAATTAACGCAGAATTTAGTAATATCTGTTGTGTCTTCTGCTGAAGATATTATGTGACTACACCACCATTAATTTACTGTTCTAAGTCAATAGAGAAACTCAATGTATAAACACATTGGTAACATTTTTACTGCCATTATGCCCAGAACTAGAACTAATACAGCTAACTTGAAGCCATCTGAAATTTCTTTTCCTCTTTAGGCATAAGCGAGTCATCTGCCCAGTTCTGCCAAGACAGGAAATTTGCCATGTTTTCGCCATTTGGTTTGCAGAACTCTATTATGGGAAGGATGACAAAAGTCCGAAAATGCCCAGCTTGGTTTTGAGACCCTGTGCTGCAGAGGGAAATGTTTATTAGCAGAGCCCATGTGCAGCAGGAAGTAATAAAGCTCCCACAGAACTACTTTTTAAAAGCTACTTTAAAAAAAACCCAAAATATTTTCAATTCATACATCAAAGACTCTATTAACAGTTATTTCCAAAGTTTGGAGCATGTTAACTTTCAAGTAATTGTCTATCTTCAGCCAGTGTGAACTCATCTTCCTCTAATATATGCAATACAGTTGCAAAAAGATCATTATCTTTCCTACCAGCATCAAGTATGGAATGAAATATAGTAATAACTGGGGCTCAAATAGGACAAAGTTTTTTCAAACGATGGGCCACCTTCTTTGGTACAATTACAAAACCAGCCCTTGGTCTTCCTAAAAAGAATGCCTATAGCGCAACACACAGGCTGCATCCTCCTACAGTATTAACAATCCTTCTGGCCATCTGTTTTAATACAGGCTTGCTTGGCAATATCCGATACTGAAACATCCAGTGAAATTTTCATCACCATTGTTCAAAAAAAAAAGTTTACTTAAAATTAACAGGTGTTAAAGAGGCATATGGTACCATGGGAGCACAATCAGTGACACAGCTCTGGAAACAGCACTACTGTGTTAAGTAGGAAATCCACAAAACCTTTAATTGGCTGGCAACTGTGTTCGACTCGAACTGTCATTCCACCATAAGACTTCGTAAATTATCAACCTGACATATGGACAAAAGAACTGGTTTCAAGCCAAACTCATGCTTGCAGGAACCATAGCTGGCATGAGCAAGGTTTTAGGTTATGGTCCTCTTGATTTTCTTTATATGAAGTCAATAAAACATTACAATTGTTCTCATAACCAGAAAGACTAATGTAATCTACAGAAAAAGGGCAACAAAGAAATACGCCCAGATGAGATCTCTTCTGAGTATACTGGAAAATACTGTAACATGAATTTCAAAAAATGGAAGTCTCACATCTATATAATTGTTCCATTCACACAAGTCCCTCAGTTTGGGCAAAAGAACAGGGGAAATAAATGTAACAAAGCTAAAATGGTGCAGTTTAACTGAGATGGTGAGACTCTGCAATTTGTATAGTTAAAATAAAGGATGTGGCTGATTTATTGTACTTCATAAAACATAGTCAGGGTCTTCATTTTAGTTTTGACAGTATTTCATAACAATAGTTATTTTAACTTTCTGAACAGTAGATCCTACTGAACTAATATTAAATTTTATATACTGCATGTATAATGGTCAGAGTCAGTTCCACTGACAAAAAAAAGAGAAAATATTATACTAATTTTGCAAAAGATTAGCCAAAAGATTATTTTTAAAAGATACCATGATTATAAAAAGCTAGAGAGAATCGCTTATTAGTTGAAAATGTACAGTAATTTTATTAATTTTTTCATAAGCCCATTGCAAATCATAAACAGGCATCATAAGCAAGAATATATTAAAACAGAAGCAGCACAGAAAGTGAGATAAATGTGTATATGAAAGGAACAAACAAGAAAAAAACTAATCATTTCTGCTTCAGATTGTTTAGCTTTCCTCAAAATGAAAGGATCATGGATTTCAATGTTTGCCATCACTAGGGTTGTTCTTTAAGTTTTTAATGTAGAAGTTTCGAAAGATTGTACAAAGTTGGTATTGCATCCTGTGCATGGATTATTATCACATACAGACACAGGAAGGCACACAGTCCATGAGGAAATGGATGGTGCAGACAGCTTACTGGGAGAACTACCACTATGACAAATACAGGAAGAATACTTTAAGGAGAAATTAATAATGTTAAAATATTTACAGCTGAAGCGAAAGATTGTGAACAGTGTAAGTGTGTTTGCAATATGATATGTTACTAAAGAAAAAGAACCGCAGTTCTGTATCAATGGCAAGCGTAGTTGCTTTTCCACTCAGTATTCCATGCATCTCTCTGGTGCTAGGCTAGTACACAGGGACTGTGCACCAACTCTGTGATTGTCAAAATGCTACTTCAAATACAGCGTTAATTAAGTTAACTGTTTGCAGTTTATTGCTAGACCAACTACAACACCATGCAATTACCTTTCAAATAACATGGTAACATTTGAAAAATTGCTTAATGTAATTAAATAATCTGAAGTATTTAAGCCATTTGCTTTATGTGACCCCTAAAAAGTGAGCTCAAACTATAAAAATGATCAGGTTAAAAGCTACCACATCAGTAACATTTTATTCCAATACCAAAACACGAATGTACCAAAACAGAAAATAATGACCTGCAAATAATCTAGTGAATCCTCAAGGCAGTACTGTAATTATTCGTCAGAAAGTAACTAGAGATACTGATTTCCTTTTAAACAAATACTTGTAGAAACAACTATTACATTTTCTTCATTAATAAATTAAAGTGAAACCTTTGCCGTGTAGCAGAGGGATGTATGTACGGATTTGACAGTCTTTAAAGTACAAAGTTGTACACTATCAGGGTAAAGTACTGAACCTCTAATACTGTATATATGTGATTTTTGAAGTTATGAAAACATTGTAACTGAAATAAAGGAATCTTTGGGATCTAAAATAATGACTGACTAATGTTACAGCATTATTGCTATTAAAAAAATAATCACTACTTAAGAAACAGCTTCCTCAGGAAGTTAAATCATGTTTCAGATTTTTAAAAATGAAAATATATTATTATTTTAGAAAGGTGTTGCATCCAAACTGCATATACCTAAGTCTTGAAATTATTAGTCATATACCACTGGTAGAAACTGTAAGGTTGTGAAACTGTTTCTTCAATTTCAAAACAACCAAAACATTGCAAAGAAGCCTCATCCTCAAAATTTAAAAAAAAAAAGTTGTCTGCTTTACCATTATGAAATTGCTGTAATTTCAGCTACGAACATTCTTATTACTATTTCAGTAGCTACCCTGCTTTCTCACCACTCCTTCCCATCAACTGGGACAGGAATTGCATATCATGCAGTGAACTCCACCAAGTGACTGGCTAAAATTAAAACCAGAATTTCTTTTGGATTATTTTTTATCCACATTAGCTATTTTACATTATTTGAGCACAACCATATCAGTATTTGCGCCAATAAAGTGTGGTGGTGAGAAAAAACAGCCATGAGATGGAGATTGACTCTAGTCAGAAATGGCATTAGCCTTGAGGTTCTGCTGGCCTTACTCTAAATTCTTTCAAGCATCTGCATCCACAGTTGTAACAAAGTTACTTTATGCTGTCTTCATAACCAATGTAACTCATTGAATCATAGGGACCCTGTTGAGCTATACTTCCTTGTTTTCTACATGCATTTTAAGAACTTAAAGAAAGGAACACACTACTTTTTCTGAAAATTGGTAATAAGGTCCTCCCCCAAAAAAGGGAGTCCAGGAGTACAATCCATACTAAAAGAATAAACTGCTTTACCAACAGCACTTGCAGTGCTGTTAGAAATGGCACTATTCAGTAGTGGATTATATCTACAATTCCTATTTCATTACAGTATTAACGATCATATATATTTCTAAGCTAATTCTTAAAAAAAAAATGCAGAAACAGAGTCTGCATAGATAAACCACTGAAACTGTTACCATTCACAATGCCAGGTGTAATTAGCACTTCATTAACTCACCCCTTTATCTCCTCTTGTTTTGGAATTGAATTTCACTGTCTTTAACCGGGCTCGTTCTTTTTTCTCAACTCTACCACAAAAACATAACACAAAAAAAGTTACATCAGCAAAATTTTAGAACTTCAAGTTACTACCTGTTACAGTGTAAGCACACTGATGTACCTTTTGTAGTATAGATTTTTGTTGGTGATGACCCCTTCAGAAAATGTCAGCCTGCTAGTGGCAGACTGTGAGCTGTGATGAGCTGTGAGGGTATTGGAGTATTTTGTGATTATACAGGTTCAATAAATTGAGGATGCAAAAAGAAAAAGCATGATATTAAGATTCTGATCTCTGATATGCCAGCAAACACCTTGTCTCTGTTTACTCTGGCCACCAAAGACAGACTTTCGAGTTTCCCAGGTTTTGGGTAGAAAGAATTCATGATAGAGTAATGATTTGAACAAAATGTACTTTGCACCTTTGCATATGTAAATGATGTAATGTTATTAAACCCATAAGTTGCTAACAGTGAGACCAGAGAAATGGACTTGAACCTCCTTCATCAACTTCAGCACGCAACTCCTAAGGCTAAATAGGATTCTAACAAACTTCTCATTGAGTTAGTCAGAATCCCACTACAGATCTCTTAAAAAAACCCAACCAAACAAAAAACAAACAACAAACCCAAAAACAAGTGGCTGATGTGGTAAAGGATTAACAACGAAGAACAAAGCATATCCAATATAGGTATTAATCATATCAGACATTTAATAGTAGACACCTCAAAGTCAATAAAATGTGACCTACCTGCGTTTGCTTGGGATAACTCCAATTTCATCACTTTCTCCATCTGGAGTTACCTGCCGTGCTTGCCACCATTCATCATCAGAAGCATTAATGACATGGAGAATATCGCCAAATTTGAAGTTCAATCCCTGACTTGGAAGGCCGCTATCTTTAGTCTTGTCATAATCAAAAAGAGCTCTACATTGAAAATAAAAAATTAAACATAGAAACAGCAAGAAAAAAAAACAGGGGTGTATGAATAATACAAAATATGAAACTGCCTGTGTTGTACACAAACGACCGAGTCATTCTGACAGTTGCTTAAAACAAGAATGTTGAATGTATTCTCTCTCTCATATATGCATACACACTGAGAATATATAGTATTTGCACCCACACACTTAAAAGTTTTAAAGAATGAGAACAAACTTTGTCCAGAGCAGAACTTTAGTATTTTGCAAAAGGTCCACAGAAGATGCCTCCTACAATTCAGTAAGTACTTTGCCCAGAGCAAAGTACGTGTCAGCCCAGGGCAAAAAAAGACAAGTATCTGAAGCACACAGCACTATCAAAAGTTCAGTGATGTATATTGTTTTATATCAAGTTACAAACTGGAATTAATAAAAATGACTGTCTTTAAAGTAAAAGTCAATATCCTGCTCCCAGGGTGGCAGGGGAAGAAAAAAAAAAAAAAAAAAAGCTTAGAAATGTGATCTGAACACAAGTTTGCTACTGCAGTGCCCGAAGGCAAAGAACTTTATGTGCATTCTTTTGGAAAATTTCCAACCATTTCAAGAGAATCTCATCCTTTTTTCTAAGATAAGCCTGTTTTCAAATAGTAGGCACTACCAATACCTGAACACCAGCTGCGTGGCTACAGTTTTATTAACATTCCCTTTGCCAGCAAGGTTGGTTTATGCAAGTCCACTATTACCCATACCCACATTCATGCCTGCTTTGTACTGATTCCTTCCACCTTCTTACTTATGAAAGCACAATCATTTGGAAGGACACATGGTGCACCATACTGTGGAACTGATCTGGGTTAAAATTAATTTTTTTAATCCCTGTTGGATTATTTTATATCTGGATCAGTTCCCTGAACTGAAGAGATCTGCAGTAGGTTTCTCCCAGCACAACCAAGAGTTAAACTGAGGAAATGAATGAGGACAGAAGCCTCTTACCAAACTGAAAGAGATACTCCTAAGATTACACCTTATAAAGAACACTTATTTCACATTTCAAAAAGGTGTATGAACCTCTACCTATGTAAAGTGAGAAGTGGCTGTATGACACAGGCCAAAAAATCCTCAACTTTATTCCAACTGCAAGGTCATAAGATTGTCAGTGATGCATTTTCTAAACAATACCCTATCTTGATTTAGAGTCTTAATACCAAATCCATCTCAGCCTTAGAAAAGCAGCAGCAATAGATTACCATGTGATGATTTAAAATCGTGGCCTTTTCCTTATCCAAATTCAGTTAGCTTCGTCTTTCCAAACACTAGCCTTATGTACCGTGTTATGCTAGATTTTTAATGTCTTGGAATTTTTTTAACCCATATAAGTACCCGTAAGTTATAACTGTTTGCTCCAAAATGTATTTTAGGTTTGTGAATTTTGCCTTTCTAAAGCACAGAGCATATTTATCTGGGTTTGAACTGTCTTTGCTCATGATGTTTTCTGTCAGATCAAGTCATCTTTAGCATAAGGTCTACTGCAAAACCAGAGTTAGCTGAGACACAATGCCTTTTTTAGGGGCCATAAAAAGTACCAAAACTTTTTGTAATGAGATAAAGGTTTTAATAAATATTTTCTAAAAAGTTTAGAACAAGACAAACATTTTAAAATGGCTTCAAAATATTTACTCTCATTATACAGAAAGTCCTATATTTAGATATGCAATGCTTTTTATTTGTAAAATGTATAATAAAATTTAGACTTTCAATTTGGAAAGCACTTGAAGGTTGAAATACCACCTTCCTTCAGTAGTGCAACCTCCACTATACTATCTTTCAGTTTAATTCCACAACATTGTTTTTTGTGTAAAACTTGTCCTTTTACCTCTGTAAAATACAAATGTTTGTTCAGTGTTGCTTCTGCAAACAAGATAATAAATATTTGTAATGGTTGAGATATCCAGCTTCTTTAAAAAAAAAAAAAGAAAAAAGAAAAAAAAGAAATAATTCTTATTTTTTTTAAATAGTCCAAATACTGCAGGTAAGAAAATTATACACCTAGTAGTTACTCCTCCAGACTTATTCTGCACATGTTTGTTCAAGAAGCACTGTGGACAAATATCACTTCATATCTCAAAACAAACTGCACATAACCCATTATGTACTTTTTTAATGCAGATTCAAGCTGCTTACATTTTCACTGAATTAACTAAGTGCATCATGAAATTTATTTCATGAGAATTCTTGTTAGCATTCAAGCAATGATTTCTACCAGCACTAGTCTGAATGTAAATTTATATGAGCAGTGAGCCAGGCCTAAAGCATTAATACACGTTGACTGCATGAGAAAAAAAATACACAAGAGTAAAATGGAATCACAAATGGATAAAAACATATATTATCAACATGTGCTCTTCAAACTAGGTAAATGGTTACACTGAATAATTTCTGCACAGTGAAAGGCAGTTTCATCAAATACTTTTCCTCTGGTGAGGTCACTTCAAGAAAAATAATTTTATTCAGAGAAAAAGGTAAAAGCTGACAAAGATAGTTTATAACAAGCTGAATTAGGGTGTCACACAGCAGTGACAAAACTATGCAGCTAAAATTTATAAGAACACCAGGAACTGGCAGTGATCACATAAACAAGCCAAAAAGCAAACAGAATTAATATAAATCTCTTTTGATTCCAGCTGATTAACATGGCTTTTCCTGTATGCCTGGCAAGTCATCAAAAGGGAACTCATTTCACAGCCAAGATGACATATTTCTCTACAGACTGGTATATAAAAAATACTTCCTTTCTTAACTCCCTGTATGGAGACTTTTAATACAGATTAACAATACCATGTATACATTTATTCAGTGTAAATTATAAACACTCACTTACTCAAAAAGAAATTTGGTATTCCCAATCAACTACTGCTTTGAATGCAGTCCTCCCATGATATTTACTCAAAATTTCAATTTAAATTTAAATGAGTTATAAAAATTATTTTACAGAGAAATCATCAAGTCCTCCCTTTTATTCCACCTTGTATTACTCAGCAACTAAAGAGCACTATAAAAGGTAACTTGGTTCCTTCACTTACAAGTCTACTGAAAGTGGATTTGCATGTTTCATGAGTGTTTACGCTTCAAAGCAGAAAAATTTAATGTCTGTGTTAATAGCGCCAAATTTTCCAGAACGTCTTTTTACCTGGCCACACTCATTACTCTCAATGTCATAGGCTGTTGATCAAATTTTACTGAAGCATTCCTTCTTTTAGGGTATTCTTGATGAACAAAGCAATCAGGAATTCCTGGAGCAAAAACATCTCCTTGCCTTATTTCAGGAAACATGAATTAATCTTACCACACTTGACAATGAATGAATGAAGGTCAGCTTATAAAGGAGGTTCTCTTTTACTCCCTCAGTTTTTGAGAAAGCAGTTTGAAACTAGATGTTTGAACCATCAGAATAACATAGCCCAAATAAGCTCCTCCTGCATGCAAGTAAACTTTCCAGGCCTGGTGCTAATACCAGATCTTTTTTTTCCAATGAATTTAGCTGAAATTTTCTAATTATTTCAAAATGGAAAAGTTTCTTCTACTTGGAGATGTAACCATTTATTGGTCTAATCCAAGCAGGAATCAGCACCATTGTTTGAATTTGTAATGTATCATGGCGGTCAGAAAAATGCAGAGAGGTAAAAGTAATTTTCAGTTTTGAATTCTAGACACATTCTACGTTCTACACATATTCTACAGTCTGAAATTTGGCATTCAAGATGACAATTTGGAATTCAAGATATGGAACAAATTTACTCCCTGTCAATATATTATCAGAGGAACTTGATACCAGGAAAGTATCTCACTTTTTCACATGTGCTTTTTCAATCTGCAGATGAAGGAGGAGAGCGTATAGAAGTACTTCAGATGCAAAATCAGAAATATTGTATGAGAGGATCTCTCTCCTCTTAGAACAAAGACCAAAAGAAATATAAAGCAAAAATAGGACAAAACCATTAAATCAGTACATCTTAATTAGTCGGGGGGAGAGAAAGAGAATTAGATGTTCAAATGAAGAGTTTGCTGCTGAATTGCTATATCTGTATTGCCCTCCAAAGATTGTTACACTGCTATTCATCATATATTGATATATATATAATTAAGAAGAAAAGTCTGTCTTTTTACTCAAATTGTATTTTCAGGCAAACACAACTGTCTTCTCCTTACCATTACATAACACCCCCAAAATGGTGTTTACAGGCAGACTATTCATAAAGATGTCCAGTTTCAGTTATGGGGACACAATGATGTACCTGATTTTATTGGCTATTTTGTTACCAAGACTTTGAGAAATTATTATTTTTAGAGCATTTTTATTTGACAGGTTTTCTATATTTGTAGTTGAATGCCTATAAACATTTTACTGTTGGATTTACTATTCAATTCAGCATTACATTATATAACTGGAATCTTTTAAGGCATATCCAAAACCAAATACTGCAGAAAAAAAAAGATAGCTTCACTTAGTAAAATGGGCTTTGAATTGGTACAATTAAAAGTACAGAATGATCACAGCAGAGTGACTTACTATAAGGAATAAGCTGGATAACTAACATGTTCTGTCAGGATCTAGCAATATGTGAAAAGATTCATAAAACTTACTTCATTGAGGTTAAAACTACATCAAAAACCAAAGAGAACAGCTGTGAACCCATCCTGTGTAAATCATGTTGCCTACCCGTCTTTGGCATCATTTGGTGTGATGACAAGAGCAGATCTCAAGAGCCCTAGCAGCACCCTCTCTTAGGAGATGTGGGCGGAAAAGTACTTTTCCTGAAGAACTTTTGCATTTTAGATTTTTGTTCTGACTTATAACAAAGCTGATTCTAAGAAAGGTTTTTGAGACTCGGTAAAGGGAATCAGCAGTCTCCACAAGGCTTCTGCCAACAACCTGGAGAAGGCTGCACTTTCTGCATCAGCTGGCAAAGTCAAAAGCTCTATCTCAGTCATTTACAGGTAACAACTTCCATCAGTGGAATAAAAGCTACATAAACACAAAATGCTTGTCAGTGGCTTAAAATACCAGACCAATGCATGAACATGAGCATAAGCAGTTTAGAACCTGATCAGCTATAGCTAACCAAGCAAAATAAAAGCATTTAGAATTGTTTAGGCTTAGTTATATGATGAGGGCTAAAGCAATAGATCTTGGGATTACGGAAAGGAAGACAATCTCACTACAATATCCATATGTGCACCTACCTGTGGAAATTCTAAGACATAGATAACTGTGATATCAAGCACTTATCCTTAGTATTTAAGGCAGTTGTCCTTAGAGATTTAAACTTTTACTCCCAAACGCATTTAAGGCAGACCAAGTACAAAAAAAAAAAAAAAAAAAAAAAAAAAAAAAAAAAAAAAAAAAAGAACAAGAGCAGCTCTCCAGAAATAGAATCCTGATAAACTTACTAAAATAATAGGTCAAAACAAAAGGGCTGCATGTTATAGTCAATCTAAACAAAAGTCTCATATGAGTAATTTGCTACATGTCTTTCAATGCCTTCAGAAATAGATTGCAAAGGATTGAGACTTTTCTGAAAATAGTTCCAATTACTCAGGTCACTACCTTGGGTAAGACTTGCTTCGTTTCCCATAGCTTATTAGGTACAGCACCATGAACAGACCAGCATCTGCTTCAGATGGGAAAATTCAATAGCACCTGAGTCTAGGATTTTAGCAGGTAAGTCACTGAGGTCCCACAACATTTTAAAGTTTAACCCAAGCACCAGCAGTGCTGTAGTCTTATCTGCTCTACTGAAATGCTCTGGCCCCTGCCAGAAGGCTACTGCTGGCTCTTATTCAATCCAGAGATAAGCTGATTCGGGGAACTCAAAATCAATTTATTTTTAAAAATGCAATCCTTTTACCCACAGTCCATACTCAAAAGGTTATGCTTTGTCAGTATATGATAACTTAAGTAGGAGTTAGTTGTCACATTAATGAGCTGCACCTTGTCACAATTTCCTGGTGAAACCACCTATTTTCTTAACTGCTTCATGCTCTTTTGTACTTCCACTTTCTTTTTGCCTCCTTTATGTTTAAATCTATATGAATGATTTTATGAAAAATATTCAGTTCATTTGCTTTGATGTATTTGCTGTCTTGTTACTATGGAAAGTATTCTATAACAAAATGCTATTGCATATAGAAATAGCATACCTTAAATGCAAGCTGAGAATACAACTAAAGAAAGGTGAAGGAAATAAGATGGAAATCTGTCAAAACTTAAGTAAAGGGAGACTATAAATTTTAACTCAAGACCTGAACAAGAGAGAATATGAAGACTACTGTCACAAAAAAACCACAAACCAAATTAAGTAAGGTTACATCTTCTACAACTTCACATACACCAACTTAAAGAATAAATACATGCTTCTGAGCAAGGATTACCATCTCTCTGACAGGCAGGACAGAAAGCAGATAGCAGCACCACTCTTCAAAGTTCATACAGGGTTCTCAGGGCTAGTACTTCTTTTTCACCTACATTACATTAATCAGTCTAAATTCAGCCTTATTTTTAATATATTTTGCCTCTAAATATCAATTTGTTAAGTTCAAATATGAGTAAATAATTGTATAAAAATGCAAGTACAGAAATACTAAGTCTACAGAAAAGCAGAAAAACACACTAGCAATACAGTGAAAAAGATGGTTACCTGACATATAGGGATCTCTTCTGACTGGTTCGCAAAGATCCTGATCCTGAACTAATGCTACTGTTCATCATCTGTTCCCGTAAGTCATGTATTTTAGCTTCGAAACGACTGTATTCTGTAAGAAAGGGAAGCACTGCAATTAATTTCCTCTGAAGTTCAGCAACTAAATTATTCGCAAAAATGTTGAAAATCTCAGAGAATAAGCACTTGCTACAGCTTTCTTAATACAAGAATAAAAACCTCTCAAACCCCAACAATTTTATTAAGCACTGTGTTTTGTAGTTAAAAGCTATGTGAAGTTTTACATTTATCAATATTAACTGAAATAAAATTTGAAATAATTGCTATTATGCAAAGGAAATAAACAGAAGCAAATATCCATAATACTTAAAAATTTAATGTTTTTTATCTGTAGTTCACAGTAACTGTTTTTTTTTCTCCTAATTAAAACAAGCATTTCTACTAAGAATTTTAATTTTTATAATAATAAAGAGACTGATACAGGTAAGTTTTAACCCATGACAAAAAGAAAACTTCAGAACATCCATCTGAAATACTATGTTTACAATCAAGAACTATATATTTTAAATTTAAATGTTAAGAAATGGGAATGAAAAGTGTCTGAAAAAACAATATTGAACAAATATTTTAAAATTGCTGGACCTGAATTGCAAAACAAATTTAGGAATACAAGGTGGGAAATACACAAATTTCCTGAATAAGACAAGGTTCCCATGGGAGCTCAAGAAAGGAAGAAAAAAGAAAAAACCACAGAATTCTGGCATGAATCTTGATCCACTTGTAAACGGCATTAAAGATTCAAACTCCCTCTGCAGAATTATGTATGATGTTAATCCTGGAAAAACTGATTGTGTTCTTAAGCAGCACCGTGTACTAACAGAACTAAGCTAAATGCGTTTGATTTTAGCTACAAGGCAGGCAGTAAAATATTAATAGCTTCTTCAGGACAAACGTTTCCTGAAGTGAGGTACTTACATGCTGTCAGCATAAAACATGGACTCAAAACAAGTAAGTTTTTCCTCCAGTTGAATAGTTAGGACTTCAGGATCAACAGATTCACTTGTAAAACCTTTCTAGCTAAAGGAAATGTTCTGCAGCCACCACCTTCACAAGGAGACCACGTGATGCCGGATTATAACAAGTCAACACCGGGAGAGCCAGGGTGTGTGCAGCAAGCAGCCGCTGAACTGGGTAATGTGCTGCTCTTCCCAGCTGCACCCCTGCTCCCTGCAGGCGTCAAGCTTACTCAGGAAACGCAAGATTGATAAAGAGGGCTCTAAAATGAAAATATCTTGAGGAAATCTCTAAACGAAGGTTCCTTCAACAGTCACTCAAATACCATGAACGATTTATCATATTACATTCTGTAGCACTTTCTCCCTGACACTCATCAGGCAGCAAGCACCAAGGCTTACAGACTCACCAGAGAAGAAGAAAAAAAAAATATCAAGTTACAGAACAATATTCTGTGAACCAGTTTCTGGTATATTGCTTCATTCATAAAGGTAACTATAAATCCAGTGCTCTAGCAATTGCTACTATAATTAACCTTATCCAGATTATGACAATACGAACAGTGCCTTAAGTCCGACTTTTGCCCTTTAAAACCAAAAGCCAGCAGTTTTTATGATGGTATCTTAGTTTTTAAAACAGCATCAAGTCCCTTTTTACAAATAAAGTCCAAAATAAATAATTTACAAGCACTAAATCAGACTGATTAAGTTGTTTTCTGGGAGAAACAAAAACATTATTTCCACCACTACCAATGCTGTCACTCACCGCAAAAGAAATTAAGATGACAGGATGGTAACCTAACAGGAATGTGAGAAAATGACATTTTTTAGAAAGTGAGAAAATTACATTTTTTAGAAAGCAAGATCCCTTAGGGGAAGGACCCAGATGCAGAGAGAATAGGCTACTCCTGCTGTGCTACTGCTGCACTGTACGGCCTTGGGTAAGTCACCTCATTTTACTCATTTTACCTGAGAAATGATCTTTTAAGCCTCTCTCCTGTTTCTTGGGTGTTTTGGAAGATTAAAGCTCTAAACTTCAAACATACTACAAGAACGGTAGCCGAGATTTATAGAATCATAGAATGGTTTGGGTTGGAAAGGACCTTCAAGATCATCTCATTCCCCCCCCCTGCCACGGGCAGGGACACCTCCCACTAGCCCAGGTTGCTCAAAGCCTCATCCAGCCTGGCCTTGAACACCTCCAGGGATGGGACATCCACAGCTTCTCTGGGCAACCTGTTCCAGTGCCTCAACCCCCTCACAGTGAAAAATTCCTTACAAATGTCTAGTCTAAATGTGCCCTCCTTCAGCTTAAAACTGTTACCCCTTGTTGCCCTTCTGACATGAGAGATTTTTTTTTACATCCCCCATGTGACAGGAAAGTAAGCATGGAAAAGACCAGATAACCCAAGCATTTTCTTGTGCTACAGCCTGTTCAGTACTGAAAATATCTGCAAATCTTTACAACAGCTCTGTTAAGAAAGTATCATATGTCATCTGTTGAAAGAATCAGATTTCTTCCTCTGTAGCATGGAAGAAAGTTAACAGGGGAGACTATTCTTTGCTACTGCTTAACTCTACTTTATCATATACATCATCTTCAGGTTGCTGGTCTTACAGTTTCCTGGAATAATTTAATTTTTCTCATCAGAACTCCCAGGAAGTAAGTGCTGAACGAGTGGCAGGGACATCTGTAGGAGGAAGGAGGAGAATAATTTCTACATAGAGGCTCCTGCCATACCAATAAAGCAAAAAAGGAAACTAATGGGCTGGGACTAAGAAGGCTCTATGTTCCAAAAGAAGGTGTGCCAAGAGATGTCATACTTACGAAAAGCTTAAACACTCTGGGCAGATGGAATCTGGTGAGCTCCTTTGATGTAGAGAAACCTAAAAATTTGAGTTATATTCCTCTTACAGAAGATTTTGGGAGGAACAGGATGGATAGAAATCTCAATTGGGTTTGGAGCTGAAAAGTAGACAGGATTTTGGTTTTCAAAAAGAAAGCTTGGTATTGCATACAGTGGTACAGAAACTAATGATGGAGACAGAAAATGAGACAAGAGCAGGACTCTTGGTAACATCAGAAAAGCAGTATCAGTTCGGTACCCAAAGGATCGCACCCATCCCCTGTTCACTAATTAGGCTTGCTTCAACTTTGTCATTATAAAGCAAACTGTGAGAGCCCTGCTAATCTGTCTAGGAGGGGTCATATTTCTATCCCTATGGTTAAGAAGAGTTGATTATTAACTGTCTTTAGCACATTCAATCTCCTATTAAACTGAAGATCACTAATACCATTTGGTAGTTTATGACATGTAGAAAAGTAGTTGCAGGATAGCAGTCAGAAGACTGTCCACACCTGTCGTCTGTGCCCTTTGAGAGGGGAACATCAACAGTCAACAGCCGGTAGCAAGACTGGAGACCCATGTCTGAGATGTGTGTATCAAATGAGATCCATACAAAATGCTATTTTGTTTGATTACAGAAGCACCAGAAAACTAACTACACACCTCCATGTTTTTAATCAATCCCTGCAGCAACACTAATGAAAGACTTCATATAGCGGGTGTACCAGACATAGATGGCTTTGGAAGAAACCCCTTAGCTAAAATACCATAAAAGCAGAAGTAGCAGATAAAACCAGAAGCACAATCTTAGCTTAACACCTGTGTCTCACACTGATGAGAAAGCAAGTATTTAGGGATGAGAACAAGGCAAGCACAGAGTGATACCACACCTTCAAGTACTCTCCCATCCTCCAGTATTTTCCATGTTTACTGAATTTCACTGCATGTTTTAAATTAACTATTACATATTATCATCACTAAATTCTCCCAAATGCTTGAGAACTGTTTTCTTTGCAATTCCGCTCTTTGTTATGGGGTATGCATAATATTACATATATAGTGTATGACAAAATTGATCATATTTTTCCCATAAATCACAGTGAACAACACAATAAACTGCCACAGGGCTAAGCGTGACAAAGCCATACAATGCACATATATATATATATATTTGGATACATATATTAGGAGCTGGAACAGGCACAGTGAACAAGACAGAAAGGACACTCTGCTTTCTTGGTTAAGAGGAAATGAAGAGCTTGGCTGAGAAGCCAATCAATCATATGACTGATGTCTGGTCTAATGTGATGGAGGTAACCAAACAGAAAGGACATAAACTATTTAAATGAAAAAGCAAAACTGACTTTAACCCAGAGTAGGTTGGTTATAGAAACTCCATCTACAAATATGCTTCCAATTTCCACAGCCATCAAAACATTGAGATGCCGAGACAGGATTTTAATAAGAACTATGGTGGCACAAGAAACACCCCCCTCGCCCCCAAATGAATTTAAAAAAAAAAAAAAAAAAAAAAGAAAAAAAAACCACCCACACCACAAATCCACACGATCCAAACCCTCAATCCTTTTAGGTAAGAATTTGACCAGGATCTGAAATGTGATGTATATGTGACTTAACTTAGGATCTCTTCTAATGTTCTGAATTTCAGGAAAGCTGCTGATGCTGTACATCAAATAAAGGGTAACAGGCAGCAAGACTAACATGAAATGCAATAAAAATGAGAACATGAGAGTAAAGGGTAAAGGTATCTTTTCTCGACTAGAATTTTCTCAAAGTTTCCAGTAAGTTTAGAGGCAGAGAGGGAGTAGTACCTGCTATCACAACACAGAGCTTGAGAAAGTGCAAGCATCTGCTGCTTCAATTCATCGCATTTATCCACCAGTACCCCACCATCACCAAAGGAAAAAAAAAACCAAACCCAGAGCCTACTCAGGTTTACACATAATCAGTTGTTAAGAACATTGGATGGATACATCTGGGATCAAGTTTAAACTTTAAAATTATATTGGATAAGCAGATGGTGCAAAACTAGAGCAAATCTGCTCTATTTTATGTCTGCATGTATTGCGCAGCAATAAGCAAAAAGGAATGGGGGAAAGATTAGGAAATCCTGACAGATTCCTCTGCTCCTGAGCTCCTAAAGTGATTTTATGTAGAAGACTGTAATGTTTTCAATTACAATTTTTACGTTAACAGAAAACTTCAGAGAAAGG